CAGCACCGGTACTTTTAAGTTGAATATTAGCCCTGATTACATATCCCTTAGTCCTCTACCTCACCCTAGCAAGTCCATTCAGCTGTCCTTTTTAGGGACCCAATTATAGACGGCACCGTGTCGGTCATCTGCTGTGCGTGATGGCTAGTGTCTTCCTTCAGCCGCGCTGCTCGGGTCACCCCAGAAGTGGTTTAGCAGCTCAGAGGGTTTCCCGCTTCCTGCTTTGGGCTCCGTTTCTGTTAGGATCGCTAGAATTATACTTTGTTTTCAATAGCAATAAAATGAAAAATCTAATGTGCCATTTTATAAAGTGTTTCACCGAAGTAAAAATAATAGAATTCATTCCTTCCTTAGATGGCAAGCAAACTAATTAAAAGATTATCATATATTCCTTATGCCAGCAAGTCTTTCCATGTAATTTTAAATTACATTTTGATACTATAGTCTTTATTTCCATATTAGAAAAGTAAATGTGCTCACTAAACTAAGGAGTTGCACACTTGGCAGCAGACACTCGAGCTCATGTAAATCGGCGGGTTCCGCTGAACTTGGAAGGAGCTGGGGGGCGGGGGGACACTATTTGAAAGGACGAGGGTGACGCAATCAAAAAGTGTGACCCCGCGAGACGCGCGGTTCCGGGGTCAGGAGCTGCTGGTCGTCACGGCGTCGCCTGTCACGGCATAAGCATTGCCGATGCAGGCAGCGAGTTGTGTGCTGATTATTTTATCATGAAAAATTAAACTGCCACGACTAGCCAAAATCTGGATCCAATTTTTCCGCCGAGAGTACCTATACCACTGATTTGGTTTTTTGGGTTTTTTTTTTTTTTTGAGGTTCAAATGCAATACGCTATTTTACTTCTTAAACGGAATTTTGTCCAGATTTTCAGGCTGTACAATAGATATTTCAAACTGCGTTGTAGGTCAGTAGTCAATGTTACAATTAACCCTTGCCTCAGAAACGGTGCCTTTCAAAAATATCCCGTCGAAGTTTCATTTTCGTACCTGAATTAGCCCGTAGCACACAACCAAACACATTCTCTAATCCCCGCCTAAAGCCGCGTTTCCTGACGGTCGTCGTCATCAAGGGCAGGTCTGCCTCAAGGACTCGCTCCACCTGTCGCAGTGAGCAATCAGACGGCGCTCTCAGAAACGGACCTCAAGTCCCCCGTGCGGCAGAGGCCCACGTTCGCGCCCAGGCAGCGGGTCAGCCGCGTTTGCTGGACTCCGTGAGGGCGGCAGGTGTCTGGCTCTAGGACTCGAGGCGGCCCGGACCGCAGGGGTCGACGTCACAGTCTCGGCTCTCCTGGTCGGAAAGGCACTTCGGGTGTCCTCTCCCCGACTCCCGCATCGGACATCGATGGCCCCCCGTCCTGTCTGAACAGCCCGCTGCTCGCACGAGCCCCCTGCTTCCTGGCCTGTCCCTTCGGTCCCTCCCCTGGGAGACACTCAGGCTCGTTCTTTGATCCGGAGCCCCAGGCTGCTGGAGCGACACGGCCGTCGCCCACTTCAGAGACTCGGCGTTACCTCGGTTCCTCGTGCGGGCCAGGACCTCCTCCGGACAGTGTCCGCTGACTTACAGCAGCCTCCGTGTCTGCACGTGACGCGTGGCATTCGGTCACGAGCGAGCCCCTCGGGTTCCGGTCGGCGCCCTCTCCCAGCATAGAGAGACTCCGCCTAGCGCGGGGGCCTCTCGACGTCGGGGGGCAGCTGCCCGCTGAGCCGCGCCTCCGAATCTCGGTCCCCTGCGTCCCCAGGCCCGCCAGGCAGAAGGGAGGTCTGCACGGGCCGGGGGGTGATGGGGAAGCCCGGGGCCCCAGTTTGTGCCGTTGTAGACCTGGATTTCTGGGCTTAACTCTGCCGCTAGTGAGCTTTATGATCACATGTTTGCCTGATTTTCGATATTCTTCTCCATAGTGTGAAAATATACCCACGATTCAGGGTTGTCGTAAGAAGTAAAGGAAATAATACAGAATACATTAAAAAAAAAAAAAAAAGCGAAAACCCTTGATTTTTTCTCATTACCTCTTTAAACCTGGCAGCAAAGCAGCTCTGCAACCCAAATGCCTTAACGGGAAGTGAAAGAGTGAACACACATTTAGAAAACGAGTGGAAATCGCGTAAACACATGTCATCCCTTTTACAAAATAAGCTTTTAAACTTGAAGATTTTTGTTCCCCTTATCGATCGTTCTAAACACCCCAGAAGCCTAGGCAAAAAGTAAGGATGGCAGTTTTGTGATACCGAATATAATGACAATGAAAACAACAGCTGCCATCTACCGAGTGTGGCGGGCTGGTCGCTGTTCCCGATGCTTCACGTGTGTGTGCTCCTTCGAGGGACGGCTCCTGGAGTCCGTCTTTGTTCACGTCTGTCCTGACGCGAAAGTCAGCCCGTCCCGTTTCAGGTTATGCGCTAACGAGGACGCTCGTCTGGCTTCTAAAGATCCTTTCTGACTTTTCTCTGCTGCCTCAGGGACGGTAATCTGGGTTGACAGCCCGTAGTCAGGAATGGCGCTCCTCAGAAATGTCCTCTGCTTGGCGCTCGAGTTGGGAGGTTGAGAATGACCAAATTGCAATTTCGAATCATATTCCACTCGCGATGCTTTTCAGTTGAGAATGCTTAAAAAAAAGTGCCTGTCTGTTCTTCCTATGTGTGCTTTCAAGTATTTATAGTTGTTTTAAGTATAAACGCAACCGTGGCACGCATTCATCCAAGTACTGACTCATTCATCCCAGTAATGACTGAATGCTGTTATTCTAGACAATGTTCCGTTTTCAGGGGACGTCATCGTCAGTGTTGTGTCTTTCATCCTATCTGCCTTGATGAACTACTTTTTTGAAGGCCACCAAAACAGCAACGAGCAACAAACACGAGAACCTCCCTCCCGACTTCTCAGCTTACGCTTCTCTGGTACTTTCTTTACTGGTTTTCTTCTTCCACAAGCTCCTTTCTCTCCGGTCCAGATTCGGGAAGAAACTGCCACGCACGTTTCTTCTCCACATCGTCTCTCACTGACGGACGCTGCTAATATCGGTGGTCTCAGGCCGCTGACGGCGACGGAGTTTACGTCCGCAGCATCGAGAGGGCTTCTAGTGCTCTGTGTCACACGTCGTGGCAGCGTGTGGCCACTTTTACGTGCTGTGCTGTCTGCTCTTCCCGGGTGTAGTCTGGGGCGGCGGTGGGGGGAAGTGGGGGCTCTGTCTCACGGGAGTGAGCAAACACCGTCCACGCTTTTTCACGGCATCAGCAAGGAGGGAACTGTCATCCTCGCCTTCTTGACAAAATATCGGTGCGTGGCAAAGGCGCCCTCGCACCTGCCTGTCTACGTCGGGGAGCAGGTGGGCGTGAACGGTCGGTGTGGGCTCTGATGCCACCCAGAAAGCGTGTGGCTTTCTACAGCCTCAAGAAAAACGCAATACGTTTTATAAATTCTAACTTTTCCTGAGTTTGAGCAGGGTATCCTGTGGGCCGGCTCCACAAACACCTTGGCTTTAGAACGCCATTCCCCAATATGGGTGTTAGGTAAAGCTGAAGCTGAAAGTTACCGCGCCTGGTGGCCGGCCGAGGGGGACGGGACACTTCCTCTAGCTCCCACGGGCGCACAGCCGCATCTCCCTGTGTCCGTGAGGGGTGAAAGTATGCTGGGGCAGGCAGGCGACGAAGCAGACGTCTTCAGGGCTTAGGTGCCATGCGGTTGGGAAAGTCATGTGTGTGTGTAGGGGGGTGGTGCTCAAAATCGAGCAGATTCTACTTCGAATCAGTCATTCCTAGCTATGGGGTCAGGATTTCAAATGTCTAGTAGAACATTCTCTGTCAAGGGAGCCATTATATTTTAGAATTTTTCAAAATCACCTCCAAATTAATCAGCGTTGTGTATTTTAATTTATCTTGTACACTGGGCTAAGTCTACCATTAGTAGGATTTACCTAGAAATACGGATTGATGGGTTTGTATTTATTAACTTAGTCTATGAACATTGCAATATCAGTTTTTTTATTTTTGCAAAATAAAAAAATACTATAATAGAAACAAATTACATTTCAGTTGCTTTTTAAGTGGTAATTTCTGCTGCCGGGGCCATTTTTACTGTGAACACTCGTCGAGCTCCTTCGTGAGCTGGGGCCGAGGCACCGCGACGCTCAGAATGTGGTTCTGGCCGCAAGGTGCTCCCTGCTCGGGGAGGAGCTGCCGTCCGGTGCCCTCCACGCATGTGTTCCCATCAGGGTGATTCCTGGAAACGAAGACCTTCCCACCCCGCCACACAGCACACGCTCTGCCGGCACATCAGTCTCCGCACCTCACTGCCGCCGATCACACGCACGTGTCCCCGCGTGCCGGCCTTACGAGAACCTTCGCTATAACTCTCCGTCCGGGGCGGGACCCCTCGAGTGTGAAACGCCGCCCCCCGCTTCAGTGGAGCCGTCGCGACGTCCCTGCGGCGTATGTCTGCCGCGGCTTTGAGAGGTGTCCTTCCGGCCCCACGGCCTCCGCGGACCGAGCTGCTCCCTCGTGTCCACACCCTGGCCTCCCCCCTGCTCTTTTCCTGCTCAGCGTCCCTTCACCCCGTTCTTCCTGACGCCTAACCTCGTTCTCGCCTCAGAGTCCCTAAAATCTTGTTTCCACAAGAACATTTTCCGGGCTGCTCCCGGGGACCCTTCCTTCCCTGAAGTGTGGGTTTTATGCCTGTGCAGTTTGGCGTTCGGTCAAGGAGCATCTCGGGAAGCAGGGATGGGCAGGGGCTGCACTTTGTGACCTCTGACCCCATGTCCTGTTACTCTCTTGCGAGTGTCTTGCGAAGTCCCCCTGACATCTGACCCCTCAGGCATCCAATACGGACGTGAAAGTCACACCCTGAAAGGCTGTCCTCGTGACCACGTAGAGAAGTCTGCTTAAAAGGAGCCGACACAGCGGGAGCCCCCAAGTTTCTCAAGATAAAAGCCGGTGTTCCTGCCATCAGTATGCACTAGTTCAACGTGACGTTCGAAGTCAGTGACTTACCAAGGCGAATTTTTTGTTGAGGACCATCTGCTCCACCAGCGACGACTCGTTGCGGAAGAGGTGGGGCTGCATGTGGCTCCACATGTGCGGGAACCACCAGAACTGGTCCACGGACCGCAGCAGGAGGTCGTCGCCTTCGTCCTCCTCCCTCGTCCCTGCACGACACGGAGCAGACACCGTCAGCGGGCACTTCCCGCCAGCGCCAAGGCCGCACGTGCGCGATTCGCTTATTCTTCGCACGACTGACGCCCAAGTCCAATTTTGTGTCGTTCTAATGGAAAGAACGACATCGGTCTAAACTGCATCAGAGGCCCTGGGTGTGGGGGCTATCATGTCTGTCTGTCTATCATCTGTCTGTCTATGTAGCTATTATGTATCTATGTATCTATCATCTATCATCTATCATCTATCTGTCTGTCTATGAATCTATGTATCTATGTATCGATCATCTATCTATCACTTTTCATCTGTCTGTCTATCATGTCTGATCTGTCTATCATCTGTCTGTCTATGTATCTATTATGTATCTATGTATCTATCATCTATCATCTATCATCTATTTGTCTGTCTGTCTATGAATCTATCTATATATCTATGTATTGATCATCTGTCTATCTATCACTTATCATCTGTCTGTCTGTCTTTCTCATCTGTCTATCATCTGTCTATCATCTGTCTAATTACATAGTCTCACAAATCCATAAATGTATTTAGAATACACCATTTATAGGATCTTAGATGCATGGAAGACTTTGAACATGAACTGTAGCAAAGAAAAAAGTCTGTTACTTGGGGAACCATCAGAGACTGTGACAAAAACCCTTTTGGAAGTTTTTAAACACGAGACGTGGATATGAAGCACTGCGTGATGGAGATACGGAACCACGCCGGGGACGCTCGGACTCTTCCGCGCCTTTGTGCAACCCGTCGTTTGTGAGGGGGGAGCGGGAGGTGTAGCCGAGGCTCGGGGTCAGGACGCGCGTGCTGGGCTCAGCCCCGGGTAGTCTGACACGGGCTGCGACACAGCAGCCCCAGCAGAGTCATCCCAGACTCGATTCGCGCTCCTCCTTGCGTCTGAGAAGCAGCTATTCGCGGTCAGCCGCGTGCGGGGTCCCGCGAGGCGCCCTTCTTTGTGGGGTGGGGGGTGGTCTCTCTCCGACCTCCCCAGGCCCCGTCTCTCCGGTGACGCTTGGAAAGGGAGCAGTGCCAGGTGTCTCATCATGGTCCTGGCACATCCGTGACCATCATCGTCACGAAACGATGCAGCCACACCGCCGCATCAGCCGTGACGCTGGCCGCAGAAGGCTCCGGGCCTTCGCGGGACGTCCCCTCTGTGTGGCTTCTGGCAGTCCTGCGGGGACTGGCTGTCCCTCAGGGCCCCGCAGCAAAGCTGGGGGCCGGGTGCTGCCCGGGGCGCTGTGACCGCCGCCCTCCTGGTGAACCGCCCTGGGGAGGAGGGCAGAGCCCATGGGCGGGAGGACAGCCGGTCCCGGGGTGTGCCGGGCAGCGAAGCGACCAACCGGGGTCAGGGCGCGGGGCGCGGCCCGTGCCGGGCGGAGGGTCAGGGCCGCCCTGCAGCCAGCACCCTGGCCCCACTGCCTGCGCACCTGCTCGCTGGCGCGGGGCGCCCCCTTCCTCGGAAAGGGCATCTCTGAGCCTAAGCCTCATTGCCCGCGGATGTTCCCCTCCGCCAGGGACACGTGACTACGGCACAGGGCACAGGTGGAGACGGGGGAGGCAGTTCTCAGTTCCCTCGTACGCTCCGCGCATGGGAGCTCTGCCATTGTGGCCAAGTCACCCCACCCCTGTGGGGCTGCTGTCCGTGCGGGCAAAACTGGACGTCACCTGTGTTCTTTTCCGGAGGGCGCGTCTACACAGCCCGACACGTAGCGGGGAATCCGGGACGCCCGCCTCCCTCCCTCCTGAGGTCCCTGCTCCTGTCCTCCGTGTCTCTTGCGAGTCTCCTTGCGTTTTGGTTTCTGTGTTTTTTTTTTTTCATTGTACTGCTGCGTGGTGGGGGGAGGGTATCCCCTGAGCGTTACGTGACAGTGGGGACATCGTATTTAAGAACTGACCAAGCCATGCATTAACTGATGGGCCTGCTTCACGGGTCACCAGCATCGAGCGCTCTGGGGGCTTCTGAGTGATGCCTGCAGACAGGGAGGACGGAGTCCCGGCGTTGGACCTGCCACCCTGGCCGCGGGCGGGTCTTGGTGCTGCTTCCTCTTAGCGGGTAAATAAGGTGGCCCTGGCAAGGAGGGTTTGCCGCGTCTAACTGGCAACACTTTTAAATACGTGCCTTTTCTTTTTCTTTCTTCTTTTTTCTTTCTTTGACACAAGGATGATGTCATCTGGTTTCGCCGCAATTCAACATGTCTGTGTCCGTCCGGGTGCTCTCCTCCTGCGTCGCCCACACGCGTGTCCTTAGGACAGCAGGCCAGCTGAGACCGCAGCTAGCTCCCCGTCCAGCTTCCCTTTCCCACACTGAGAGGGGGGAGAGGTGTCCAGCAGCAGCTCGTGCCTGACTTCCAGCTCCCCTGGGAGAGTGGGCTGAGCTTTCCTAGTTCATGAAAAGCCAAAGCCATCCCTCCCCGTGCTCGTCTGTCCCCGGGCCTGGGCCCTATATCTCGTCTCTCTCCGCCTCTTTCTTCTCATCTCGTTCTTCGTTTCTCTAGTTGGCCTCTACCCAAAGTTCCTTTATCAGCATGGAGCAGCAGATCTCAGGGCTCTTTGGAAAGACAGCTCAGGCATTTGTTGTCGCTTCTTGAATATCATGGCGAGATCCGCTATTAAAATATTCATGCATTTAAATAGTGCAGGAGTTAGACAAATGATGTCTTTCCTTTGACAGATTTATGTAAATTCATAGCCGGCACAATCGTGTGCCATTCCTTTTTCCTTTAAAACTCTTTATTTCCTTTAATCCTCAGTTGGGGATGTTTTACATCAGAATGAATGATGTTGAGAAAAAAAGGCGGTGGCTTGTTACTTTAGACATCACGACAGAAGGCAGCTGAGACACAGCTGTCCGTGGCCAGCCTGTCCTGGCCTGGGCCCTGCTTTCTCCTCCCACTTGGCCCACCTTCTTCTGAACTGGAGGCAGAGGGAGGAACTGGAAGTCAGATTTCTCAATTTTACGTGTCATTTCTTAAGTCGTTATAAAACTGTGCTGAAACGTTAGAAAGTGATTGCAAATTATTACTTATTCCGTGTCTAAATAAATTGTCTCTTTAGTATTTCATCTGCCATATTTCCTACTCTGATATCATACGAAAAACCATCATTAATTGAGACTTTAGCCTTTTGTCAAGCATTGCACCGTCTTACAAGCATCATCTCAAATTTAATTCTCGCTACAACCCTGTGAGGTAAGGGCCACCGCTAACTATATAGACCAGGAAATTGATATTTGGAGAGGCGAAGGAATTTGTCCCAAGTCATTGGAAATGTCGAGACAGAACCTGAATTCAGAACCTGAATTCCACCCAGATTAAGCAACTCCAAGTTCCGGACCCTTAACTATGCCGTGCACTGACCGAACGTGGAGCTCGGGAGTAAGACCAGCCCGTAGGAATGCACGTTGTTAAATAATTCTAAGGTACAATGAGAATTTGCGAACGCTGTTGTTTCTCAGTGATCTGGGGGAAATATTCAAGCCTGAGGAACCTCGAGGGAAGGAGAAGGCGTGTTTGGCCCTTCGGCTTCTCTAATTAAGGATTGCTAATTACACAATAAAGATCCAGTTTTTAGACTTAGGCTGTGATGCTCCTAAAGTTAAGACTTTTTCTTTTTTTTTTTTCCTTTTTTTAACTTAACCAGCTATATACTTCCGTGGACCCCTCGAAGATTCTATGTTCTTATCTGGAAATCAGTATAACATATTCTTTCACTCCTCGGAGCCAATGAAAAAGTGTTCAGCGAAGTCCTTAGCATATGGTGTTGTTCACTAAAAGGGAGCTATGATTTTAACTTCCTTCATCTCTTTATTTCTCACGAAATGCACAAACCCTTCACAAACTAAAATAAGTCAAACGAGAAGAAGCCCTCTCCTGGAATAAAGCCTTACTATTACAGGAGTGCTATTTTCCTCCTTCCCTTCAAGACCGAACGAAATAGAATTTTTAATAGAAAAAGGAATTACTCCTTTAGAAAGGAAGACAATGTAATTCAATTAAGCTTTACCATATCAAATTTTTGAAAGATTCAGAGTATTAAATTTTCTGTCTGTTCTCACCGAAACATGGTTTGACTGATTTGGGTTAGCCGACCTCCGCTACAGTTTTGCAGAAGCTTTCATATCAGATACAGTGGACGAGACCTCTCCCAACCGTGTCCTTAGCTTCCTCCCGTGTTCTAGTCTCCCTGGCGTAGAGACAGGACGTTCAGACTGTGAGCCGTGGGAAGTGCCCACGTAAGGCAAGAGGACAAACCTTTCGGAAGGAAAAAGGAAGGATTGTGGCAGGCGAGTGTCGTTTTGTGGCATCTGGTTTTGGGCAAACATTGAGTTGTCAGGTAGGAGTGTTTGCTTCTATTTCATCTTATGTTCGGGGAAGAAAACTTTAATTATACTTAATATTTAGAGTGAGTTCCTTTTACAACACAACATGGTCAGATTTTATCACTGACCTTGTTCTATGTAAATACTACTAGTTACAATAAAGGGGATTTTACTTCTACTCACTCGTCCGTTCATCAGTTCATTTTTTCAATAGATACTGTTCTGGTTGCTGCTGTTACAACAGCAGCGTCTTTACGGAATATTCGTTTTAGTGAGAGGAGAGAGACAACGGATAAATAGTTTAACCACAAAGTTCATTAAGCATCCATTTATCATACACTCTTAGCAACCTAGGAATAGACGGAAGCTGCCTTAAGCTAATAAAGAGTAGCTACAGAACAGTCTGTTAAAGGAATTCTCCCCGAGAACAGGAAGGAAGCTGCTGAATGATTTCCCACTTTTATTTAACGTTGTACTGGAGCTAGTGCAATAGGCAAGGGATGGAAACGAAATTCAATAGACTCGTGCAGGAAGAAACAGTTTCACTATTCAAAAATTACATTATTGTATCGGTAGAAAATTCGAAAGAATCTACAGATAAACTATAGAATTAATAAGTCAGTGTAGCCAGGTTGCTGGATATAAGGTCAATGCACAAAATCAAATGTATTTTTACAGACTATCAACAAAGAAATGGAAAATAGAAAAGGACACCATTTACTATTGCAACAACAACAACAACAACAAACACCCAAGGAATTAATTTAAATAAAGTTTTATCAGGTGTAACCACCTGAATACGCTAAAAGACTAGAAGAGTCAGTATTTAAGATGGCGATTCTCCCCACATGGATTTATAGATTTAATGCAGTCTCAATAAAAATTTTAGTCAGCTTCTTTGTAGATATTGGTAAGCTGATTCCAAAATTTATATGACAATTCAAAGGGGCAAGAACTGCCAAGGCAATCTCGAATAAGACGAATACACTTGGAGGACTTACACTAGGTGATAGTAACATTAATCAAAGTGACAGTAACTAAGTTTGATGGAGACAAATACATCCAATGGATAGCTCCAGCTGACCGGAGAGTTCCAGAGCAGAGCCCACACGTATATGGCCGCCGGGGCGGTCTTTTCAATACTTGGAGCCAGTTAGATAGTTTTATGGAGAAAAGAAGGTATCTTGACTCCTCTCTCACACTTACACAAACGTCAATCCCAGATGGATCCCAGGTTCCTACATTTTAGGCATGTAGGAACGTTTTTTCATAATCTCGTGGCATACAAAGATGTCTTTAAAAAGATACAAAAAGTTGACCATAAAGGAGAAAAAGATAAATTGGACTACATTAAAATTAAGTATATTTTGTCCATCAAAACATGCCATTAGGAGGATGAAAAGTCAACCCCCGCCATTGGGGAAAGTATTTGCAGCACACGTAACCGACAAATACATAGAATAAGAATACATAAAGAATTTCTAGAAATCACTAGTAAAAGCAGACAACCCAATAGAGAAAAACACAGGTATTTCACCAAACGGGGTGTTCCAAAGGCCAATCAGCATATGAGAGAAGCACAGTTTCTCTACTCATCAGAGCAACGTACATTCGAACTGGAATATGATACTAGACGTGCCCGCCAGAAAGGCTAACGCCAAAAAGACAACCAGCGTGAGCCCCAGCGAGGCTCTGGGCAGCAGGAAACCTCATATACTGCTGGGGACAGTGCGGCCACTTTGAAAAACGGCTTGGCATTTTCTACTTAAGCTGGTCATAAATGTGCCACACATGATTAGCAATTCCGTTCCTGGTCGATAACCAACAGAAAAAAAATAGTTACGCCCTCTGAAGGACAGGTGCAAAAATGTTCTTAACATGACTATTTGGAAAAAGCCGAAGATCGAAACCAACACGACCATCTACACCGGAAAGACGCAGAAAAAAGAAATTTCGGTGTATTCAAACAGCGGATACCACAGAACAGTGAAAACGAAAGAATCGCAACTGTGCGCGATCATATCTGTGAATCGAAAACCGCGCGGGACAAAACAAGCTGGAGAGAGTAGAGTTCGTATTACATCCGTCTCAAAGCCAGGAAGACAAATCTAGGATGTCAGGGGTCAGGATGGTGGCCTTCCCTGAGGGAAGCTAGTGAGTGTCAGGGTGCACGGGGTGGGGGGTGCGGGGGTCCCGCGTGCTGGTTAGGCATCGCGTATGCTTTGTGAAAATTCACTGAGCACTACACTTACTACTTATGTACTTTTAAAAATGTAAATTATAGTTCAAGAGCAAAGGGAAGCCACCAGATAAATACCGCGGTGAATAAACTTTCAAACCATTAACATTTTGTAAGGTAAAAAAAAAATAATAATATGCTAAATGGAACTGAATGACAGGAAGAAAATAAAATGGGGAGACACCGAGGGGAAGTCGGGGTGGGCAGGAGGGCGTGCAGCTTTAAACGGAGTGTCACAGGGGCCTCGATGGGGGCAGTTAATCTGCTTTTCTTACCTGTATGGTAAAATTTCCCTGAAAATCCCAGGTTGAACGTAAAATTTGTGATTTGTGCACGCAAAAGATTCTGAGTATCAAGCAGGGCCTGAAATACATAATATTTAGAAATGTTTCAGGTAGAGAATGGCATTGAGAAGCTCTGAAAGTTATCTTCCTTTTGCATTGAAAGGATAAACCTACTCTTTGATACATGAGAGAATTCAATGATGGAAGGTAGTTTCTTTGCCACTTTAAAAGCAGAGAGAGATTTTCAAGATCCCATAAAACACATGCAGATGTTTACCCGTCAGCTTATAATAAGGCAGCAAACATGTCAGCTGGAAAGGGGAAGTAACGTGAAAAGTTTATTCTGCACGGGAAGGAGCTGGGGCCTCGGACATAGAGTCACTCCTTCGACGCCGCAGGACGCAGACGCCAGCCGCCCAGAGACGCGCGCTCTTTAAGTGGAACCATGCGAGCAGCAGATCCTTATTTCTCAGATACGTCTTTGGTCTTCAGAATTCAAGACTTTTCCATTTTTAAGTCTTGCCATTTAATTAAAAAGCAGATAAACAAACCCAAAACCATACTTCACACAACTAAAGCTATTCTTAGTCAGTGTCGTTACATCCTATAAAGTATTTACGATGCTACGAGGAGTTTTTAGTGGAATTCTTTCCTTTCCTTTCTCATTATCTAAATTCCTGTCCCCTCTCTCTCTGTCCATGTCACACACACTCACACAACGGTCGTTGAGCGCCCACCTCAACCAGGCAGAAAGCGACTCTGAAAGGTAGATGCGTAAAAGATCTGAGTCTTGGCCTTTTACACATTTATGCGATATTCTAGAAACAAACACTAACCGCATAAAAACTGCACTGAAACACATGACAGATGCTAATATTATGCCTAGGTGTGGTGAAGAAGATTTACCTCTAGATGATATTTTACATACTTAAATAAGCAGTAATATTTTTTATTTTTATATTGTTTCTATGAGTCAGATTTTGGGGGTACCTATGAGAACAATGTTATATATTCATCCATTATTTCCATCTTTTCAAAATATGCTTTTTGCTCCAGAAGCTCGATCACCCAGCAATATTCTCAGGTCATATCCTCTCCGTTAAACTCTTCATTACTAGAGTGATTTTATTCGCCATTCTGTTTGAAACTGAAAGTCGGCTATTACTATTGAACAATGTTATAAAAATGATATTAAAATGTTTTGCTTTGTTCCCTGCAAACATGTCTACGATGCTGTGGTAAGATCTAAAATCGAATCGGAATAAGCTAAGTCGGCGTTGCAACGCCACATTCAGGGACCACACGTGTTCCGGGCACGCAGAGCCTCCCTGAGTGCAGAGCCCTGGGCGTGGAGGAGGGACGTGCCGCCGCCACCTGCGGAGGAACCAGGCCGTGGTCCCCTCCGAGCCAGCAACCTCGGGGACACAGATGCCTGAGTGCTCTGATTATTGGAGGACAGTCATAAACACGGTGTGGATTTAGCAGGATAATTCACGATTTCATGCATCAGTGGTTATTTTTACAATAACACATTTTTTTCCTCATTAAAAAATTTAAATCACTAGAAATCCCCCTCTCAGGGTCAGTTAACATGAGGGACTTCCTTTCCATTTTTATCAATAACTGCATATACCTGCAGCTTTAGAGGCAAGCAGAATTAGAGACAAAGTAAACATCAGAACTGTCCCAATTATGACCCGAAACACAGAATTTTCAATTATGCCTTTTTCATTAATATATCGTGAGCTTTCTCTTGTCACGTTAATCTTCCAAAACCAGTATTTTCAATGAGTGCAGAATATTGCATCAAATGGGCGTATTATAACGTATTTAGCAATTTCATCCTGCTACTTAGCGTACATTTAGATTGTTTACATTTTTGTGGCAAATATACATACTGCTCTGTGTATCGACACATATTTAGATAGCAGTGAAGTAGCTCTTTCTGCAGGAGAAAATAATTTCGCTTATTCTTCAGTAAACAACACAACTTTACAGCAAATTTAAAAATAATTATGAAAGGATTCGAAGGAACATAATGTCCAATTCAAATGATGAGAATTGCATCATGGATGAAATTCCGTGAAAATTTAACCATTTCCAAAATTATTGTTTTCAAATCTGAATCTATATGCTACCCCACTAACTTAGTTTTTTTCGAGGCTTCATCCTACGAAGCCAAAAAAAGAAAAAAAAAACACTTGCAGGCATTCAAAGATCTAGCTGAAGGCAAAAAAGATCTAATTTAAAGAAATGAGCTCTCGGAACTGAACGGAATAGGAGCTTCTATATATCCTTGGATCGCCTCCAGCTTTCTGTAACAGGATGAATATATCAATTAAAATGAAGAGACAAACATTAAAAATAACCGCACGCGGGCGTTACACGGCGATTCACGTTCGTGTGCACCGCACGTGCGACGCGCTCCGCGGGGACAGCTGGCAACGTTTGGTTTCCTAGTCGCGCTTCCGGATGACATTTCGACCCGGGTTGTCTTCTGTGCCTGAGCAGGAGCTGGCGAGCCGAGCTCAAGCCGAGGGGGGAGCCGCAGCGTGGAGGGCGGCTTCTCAGCACAGGCCGAAACGCAGCGTTTCGGGACAGAACTTTCCGGGTGAGCGTTTTCTCATCGGCCACACACTCATCAGGACGCAGCAGCCACCTCTGGGAAGCGGTGACGGAGACGTCACCAGCCCCTGCTGTACTTGGCCTTGCCGTAGACCTGTCTTCCCTCACCCTCCACTCCGGGGAGACGTGTCGCACTGCTGTTCCCGGAGCGTCCGGGCTGTTCCCGCTTCGGAGTCCCCCGTCCGGCTGTTCCCTGTTCGGAGACGCACGTTCTCGGGTTCTCGGTGGCTTCCTTCCTCGCCTGGCTCAGGTGTCCGCTCTGCCGGGGTCTCCTGGGTGAGGCATCCGCCCTCTTTTAAACAAATCCCTCTGTGTCTGGCTTCCCTGGCTTATGCGATCTTCACAGAATTTATTCCCATTATCTTGGTGCGTATCTGCTTATCAGCTTTAACTCCGCATTAGAATCACTGGTCTTACACTGCGACTCCCTACCATGCTCAGCATCTTTTAATGGTAAATCCTAGACTGATAAAAACTTTGGGTTACCATTAGTAAGGTGACTCTCAAACTGCAAAAAGAGGCCATTATTTATTCTTTGCCTCCCCAGCTTTGTTGAGATGATTTTATTCTCTTTGGGGCACCGAATAGTGGTTTGTTCTCAGTGACTCCGTTCGGGTGAGGATCGGTGACCTAGATGGGAGCCCTGTAGCTGTCCGGGGTGAAGGGCCCCATCTAGACCATTCCCGAATAGGCAAACTTTCCCTCACAAATATAACTTCACATAAAACTATCGTTAAAACACGGTCAGCGACAAAACCGTCTAGGTCCTACTGTCTCTGTACTACTAAGAAACAGATAGATAGATCGATCGCTCCCGTTACTAAGGGAGAGAGGATTCACAGATCAAATTATTTGATCTGTTTCTACAAGATCGGTTAAAAACTTTCGAAAAGTTTTCAAGCATGTTCTTTTTCCACAAATGCTTCTAATATTACAAATTCCAAAGGAGAGTTAAAACATTTTCTGAACCTATGAAAATCAACTGCTTAGTGAAGAGACCCGTGTGCCTCGTGCGGAATTCATTAACGAACCACATCGGAGGCAGTCAGGGCACCAGGGACCCAGGGTACGCACGGAGGCTGCGTGTCAACGCCCACACGTCCCAGGGGACACACAGCCGGGGCGTCGAGGGGTTCGCCACCCACTGTGTTATTTCTCTTTGAAAACAGGGACGGAACTGCACAGTTGTAAAAGTGGGTGTTGGAAAGGCCTCCTGAGAGCCAGTGGGAGCCTCTGTGCTGATTCGAACACGAGCATTCCCGAGATTAGTGAAGTTACACAAAACTGACAGCGGACGATTTGCAATTCGATTTGTTTTACAAACTCCTTACTACGGATCACGTAAAATTAACAACCCAAGAAAACCTGTCGAGGTGCTGACACGCCCCTGTCCCTTCCCCGGCCCACACCCCGGCCCACAGCCCGGCCCGCCCTGTTCTGAGCTGGAGCAGAGGAACGGTGGGCTCTCGGTTTGGGTAGTTTCGAGTTTCACATTTCTTTGCGTTCTGTGCTGGCTCCCTCGCCGTTCACGATGAAATATCCTGGGACCAACCTGGGAAAACACACGTGTTCTATTTTGACCGTGGTCTTAGTAACTGCCCTGAAAACCTTCCTTCGTCAAATTCCGAAGCCATCGTTTCGACAAGGAATGGTTTAAGCTATTATTTCTGATTCTTTCAGCACTATATTTTTATTCTCGATGTATATATTTTAAACTGGACGCCACTGCGGCTCAGCTAGACGTTCGTCACTTTTGCTCTTTGACAGGTATTTTCACAGAAAACAAGTGGGGACTAAGGTTGTATTGCCAACGATTCTGCTTATTTTTAACTTCACTCGGAACGCAGGTGGGAACTGAAACTTTAGAAGGAGAAAAGGTGATGTAATAGGATCTCTCTCCTCTCACGCCCCTGGTTCTGGGGGGTTTCCTGTGCCTGGCAGCACCCCAGGCCCTACGAGGGGAAGCCTGAGTGACAAGTGTTCAGGCCAGCCTCCCATGCACTGAAACGCAGGCCCCCAGCTCGGAGCTCTCTCCCGGGAGAAGAGCAAGTCTGAATGTGGCAGGAGTGTCACACTTTTATCGTGCTCTGTGTGTTGTCCTTTGTAACAGAGAGAAAGCCTGGCGTGCAAATTGAAAAGGCTCTTTGAAAAGCAGTCATCATTCTCAGGACAATGACTTATGCCTTTCAGAGCCCATTCCCTCACTTCCCACCCCTACCCCCCGTCATATGCACACTGGAGACGCTCCAGGTCTAAGAGGTGGTGACGACCGTGTCATACGCGGACGCCTAGGACAGCCTGGGGCTCGCAGCTGGGAGAGCACGGCCACTCGGACCCGAAGGCAGCACACTCAGAGCCTCAGGGGGACTCTCCGAGGGTCCCTGGATCTGTGGCTGTGCGGGTGGGGGCTGGTGGGAGGAAGGCAGAGAACATGGAACTCACAGGACCCTTCGC